TATTTTAATCCCTTCTCTAACTTTCAAGATCGGAGCCTGTTCCATCACCATCCCCCTTTTGGCCACCAATCAGGACTAACCGAGCTGTTCATTTTGCGGGAACACATATTAGGTTTGACGAGGGCAAAATAATAATTCCATTTAATTTTGGGTTTGCCCGTTTTTGTGAATTGCTAGTTTAATTAGATTGAAAACAGGCCAATGATCACAACTCAAGGCCTTTGGCCTTGAAATCAGTGTTCTAAAATGCGTAATGCGTTGCGAGGCGTCGATGTCGAGAATCAAGAATCATAAGTTTAGGCGTGTCAATGCGAAGAATAAGCGTCATAATGCGTTTCGAATTTCTAATATTATTTTAATTATTTTTATGATATTAAATATATTTTTATATAAAAANAAAAATAAATTTTTTACTATATCATAAAAAAATAGATTTTTTACCTTAAAAAAAAATAAAGATAAAAATGGGATTATGTGTTTTGGAACTAAATAAATAACATGAGAAGTTAAATATTATCTAACTATTTATTAATAAATAGACCTTTTTTTTTTGAATCAAAATAAATAGACCTTTTGGAACTATGCTTTATTAATTAATAATTGGTCTTTATACTTTATCCCACTCCCAGCTCCCAGATTGTGAGAAATGAATTGAATCTCTTTCTCCTCTTCATCACTCACCACAGAAAACGCAAAACCAGGGTCCAGGGACACAGTCTCTCTCTCTCCCTCTCTCCTTCATCACTCATCAGTGCTTTATTAATTAACAATTGGTCTTTATACTTTATCCCACTCCCAGATTGTTAGAAATGAATAGAAATAACCTATCTCTTTCTCCTTCATCACTCATCGATCAGTGGAGAAAACGCAAAACCAGGGACACAATCTCTCCTACTCCTTCATCTCCGGTCTATCTTCCTGGCCCTGAAAGCTTCCTACCTGGGCCTGTATTTGACTGGGCTTCAAAGGCGGCGTGGCTAAGAATTCACGTGGGAGTGCCGTTTGCAGACTACCAGAACTTTCCTTGGATATTGCTTCGCTGGTCAGATTTATTCCATAAATTTCGCCTTAATTTTCTTGTAATTTTGTGTCAATTTATTGGGTTGAAATCCAAAAATAATTTCCCTGTAATTTGGCGACGAATCTGCTGCTAACTTTGGGGAGTGATTTCGGCCAGAATACTTGATGAAATTGGAAGGTGTTGGTTGCTAATTGAAGAGGGGATGGAGGGTTGTCCACCGGTACCAATGTCCGGTGGTTTTGGTGGCATTTGGTCGCGAGAATTTGGGCGAATTTTTGGGCAGTTTCACCAAATCACGAGTTTACTGGTGAGAGAAGTAGCTTTGGATGCTACTGTAGCTGTAGGTTTAAAAATCGTATCCCACATCGGATGAAGACTAAATCAGTAGGAGAATAATCTTTTATAAAATGGTGCACCACTCACTTCACGTATTGGGACTGTCTGTGCATTGGATGAGCCCATCAAAGGAGTTGATAAAAGGTTTTTTCTTTATAGTCAATTGGGCTTGAACGCATTATTGCACGCATTCAGGGCATGCGATGCATTTGGCCCACGCGTCACGATTGTGCACGCCTACGCGGCGCATTAACACGCTTTTTAGAACACTGAAAATGAGCATGGGGGCTCAAAATTACTTTTAAAACATTTTTAAAGCATTTTACAATGACACCTGTGTGTATGCGATATGAAGTCAGTTACATGGACTGTCAGCAACGCTAGATAATTGCTCCCCTTTCTCTCACACAGATGCAGTGAGCCGACTAGGAGCCAAAGGCAAGCCGAGCATAGCCAACGGCCAAGCTGGCGTATAGCCCGAAGCAAGTGACGGCGGAGCTCCGCCATTCCAGCTCCATGGGCATTCGGGCGACGCCGTCCCCTACTGCCACCGGGATGGCATCGTCCCCATTTTCCCCTGCCAATCACCCGGCGGACGACGACGACGGCCGCGATCGACACTCTCGAGATCGCTCTCTACGGTCTTACCTCCAATCTCTCTACCCTCATTCGATTTTCCCTATCGACGATCTACATAGGCCCTACCTACACAACTCCAAGATCTCGCTTTTTGTACTCGTTGCAATTGTTCTCGCCGTCGTGATTTCGGTTTCTTCTATAGTCAATAGATTTGTAAGACCTTATTTCATATATGTATATACATTTAAGCGTCATATTTTTTTATAGCCAAAAAAAAAAAAAAGTAATTTCTATGGAATGCTTCCCTCTGTTTTTCATCTGTTTTGTGGAATGTTAGTTGAGTATTCGTTGATTTCAATATATTATTGCGTTGGTTTGAAAGATTTGGTACTCGCTTGTTTGTGATTGGGTAATGGCATTTGTTCTTCAAATGTCATTATAAAAATAAAACTGAATTTGTTAATCAAAATGTTGAAAAGTTGGTAAATTAATAGATATGGACTATTAAGACTGTTTTCTTTTTTATGATTAGCCATTTTATTTTTTCAGTGCAACGAGTACATCAAGTATTGTTTGAAAGTTTGTATTTATGTATGTATACATGTGGTCAATGTGCCATCTAAAATCTAACCATTATTATTTTGCCCTCCTGTCTACACCTGATGCAGAATGCTCCATATTTGTGCAAAAAAGATGGCATAACTCTTGTCTGCCCTAATGTAAGTATTTGAATCATTAATCTTTATTTTCTTCCATGTTTTCATCTTATTGCTTCGATTGCAGTTTAATTTTACATTTTTTAATTTGACTAGGTAAAAGAGTCTCCATCTCTATGGGAGAACCCTTATTCAGCCACTACATCGTGGAAGCCTTGTTCCGCACAACGCGAGGGCATAATTTCAGGCGAGTAAACTGCATATGCTTAGTCTCTTTGCGATAATGGGACTGATTTTGCCACGCTAAATTAAAGATGAGTAGGAAAACTGGGAAACCTCACCAATTTTGAACCTTGTCTATGATGAAAAAATTAATCCGACCTCTGTTGGATACATGATTGTTTTTTCAAAGTCAGTGGACACGTGTAGGTTACCTCAAATTTGGAAAGTATCAAGCAGAGATAGCATGCATTAAATGGGACTTACAACTATTTGCGAGCTTCGTTCTTTAGAACACTAATGAGTTAATGTCCAGCACCACTCCAATGCTAAAACTGTTTGACTTGGAAAACAAGGAAAATTTGATTTTAAGTGTGCGGAGTTGTATTTTAAATTGCATTAACATGCTGCAATTTGGTGAGGCTGAGGCAGAATCTGTTAGTGTGGTTTCTTTTATGCTGCACTTGACCGAAAATCACGTAAGGGCCAAATGGAGATGGGATAATGTCATTTTAATGATCTGTTTCCTCTACCTTTATAAACCATACCATTCAGTTTGTTACTTAATGTTCCTGGTCTTCTTCTTTCGCCTTTCCTTTTTCCTTTTTCATTTTCGGTCACTGTATCCTGGGGTTGGTGGTGTTCTACCATGACGTGAACATTTCCATTTTTCCTTGCAGTTTTTTGATATGGTTATGGCACCTTTGTGAGAACTTAAATCTATGTAAAGAATATGTAAGTTAAGACAAACTAAGTCCACATTATTTTAATTTCTTATGTGATAGGCTAATTGAAGCTCTGTCAATAATGGATACTACAGAGCTTATTTCTATCAGCACCTTGTTTTCATTTCTAAATTTTGTGCTTCTTAAATCAGGATTTGTATTTAAACGACTCTTAACTCAATATGCATATAGAAATATGATTTCTCCTTTCTTCAGTATCTTTTTGTCATTTCTGTAAGATTGAATTTCTTCATTTTGTGTTGCTTACAATGGAATGTGTATTTAAATAACTCTAAGTGAACATTCATATAGAAATTGAAATGCTAGGGCCTTTCTAAAGATTGATGATCATTTTGTTTCTTCGCAGATCTTCCATCACAGAATGAAACAAATGGCTATATTTTCATACATGCTGAGGGTGGTTTAAACCAGCAAAGAATTGCCGTATGTTTCTCTTCAAAGCAAATTTTGTCTGGGATTTAGCAAGTCAATATTAATTTTTTTCTGGTCATGTGCAGTTCGCTCTTAGATCCTTTTGAAACTTAAATGAATTTAATGGTTGTTATTTAGTTGATGTCATAATTGATGAAGGCAGATGTTCCGAAGAAAGTGCATTGCTTTGGTAACATTCTTAATAATTTTCAAAAAGTGATTCTTTCAAATAAACTAGAGAACCTTCAGCACCTTAAATGGCCACAGGAAATCTATTTAGGGGCTTGACTATTATTGTATTACAAAGCAGATATGTAATGCTGTTGCTGTGGCCAAAATTATGAATGCTACCCTCATCTTGCCCGTGTTGAAGCAAGACCAGATTTGGAAGGACCAAACGTGAGTGAACTTTGCTAAAACTGTTTACTTTGTGTTCTAGTTCAATTTTGCGAACATTACACACTTCAACTTTTACGTCAGCATATGTGATATTGATTATTTTGTTTGGAGTACTTCTTGATGAGATTACAATAGTGAGAATACTCTAGTAGACTCTCTCCATGCCTTTGCTGCAGCCTGCAGGTGTCATATTTTCCACTAACACCTTGCTTAGTGCCATCACCTTAAGAATCTGCTAGTTTTGACTATGTCATCTGTTTCCCATAGCCACTAAAAGTCCAGAAAGGCACTCACAACTGCTAAAGGAACCCCATTCTTTGTAATTGGCTGCTTGTCTAAATTTCAAAATTTTCATTTTCCAAAGAAAAAAAAACTAAATAAAATTTTAAATTTAATGTGCTGTGAAATGGAACTACCTAAAATTGCATGGAAAGAGAAAGAGCACTGCAAAATTTAAGCTACCTGTTCATAATCTGTGATTAAGTTATCTCGAACTAATCAGGTATCTTTCTTTGAATATTTTTCTTTTTGGCGGACTACAGCTTTTATGCTGAGAGTTGAGCCTGTTTGATACTTTTGGGAGCTGGCCACTTGAATTTTTAGAATATAATTTCTTTTTTTATGACTTCATTATGTCACTGTGCAATATGAGATACAGACTTCATTAGAATCTCCAATTGCTACCTGTTTCTGTATTGAAAATACACAATTGCTACAGGAAATTTGAAGACATTTTTGATGTAGATCATTTTATTGACTACTTGAAAGGTGATGTGCAAATAGTTCGGGATATCCCAGAATGGTTTACAGACAAATCAGAGCTGTTCACTAGCATAAGGTTTGAGAACTTTATATTCTCTCTTGTTGAGTGTGTATGCACATGTGAATATTATTACTTTATTCCAACTTCAATAACCCATTTCAAACCATTTTTATTCGGAGCTTTGCATTTTAGACTTGACTGTTTTAGATATGAATTATATATTGCTGGTTCTGAACTTCACTTGAAGAATGTTTTGGCTAAGCTGATGAAATCATAAAATTACTTTAATGAAAATTCAGAGGAATAATAACTCTGTTCAACTTTTTTGAGTGTGAAAACGAGCTGGATGTAGTTATCTTCTCATGGATTTAGGCTATTCAATTGGAAAGGTAATTTTATCCTGTCAAATAAAGGTAATCTACTCAAGTTGAAATTGCTCACATGGCAACTGAAGAGTCAATATTTTACTGTGTGCTATCTGATTTTAAAAAATCCGAGGTGTATACAAGTTTTAGTGGATTAGCTTGTGACAGGCAACAAAAAGTGACAAATGATTGCATCCCTCATTTCTGTTTATAGCTAAAATTACTTGTAGAAGTTTCTTGAAGCCGCATGGTGAACAAGGGACACGAGAAAATGGCTGTAGTTTGTAGACTGCTTAAAACTTAAGAACTGGACGTTTAATCTATAAAATAAAAAAAATAAATATCCCAGTGCCTCAGTTTTATTGCAGCAGACTTGTATAAATTCACACATTCTATGATTTCTTATTGTCCATGATAGACGGACAGTCAAGAACATTCCAAAATATGCTCCTGCTCAGTTCTACATTGACAATGTTTTGCCTCGAGTCAAGGAGAAGAAGATAATGTCCTTGAAACCTTTTGTTGATCGACTGGGGTAAGTAGTTCCAAACAATACAATTCTTTCTATGACCTTGATTAGCTTTTATATATAGTAGTTTATTTCTATTGTGACTCTTGTTCATCAGGTATGATAATGTTCCTCCTGAAATCAACAAGCTAAGGTGTAGGGTAAACTATCATGCTTTGAAGTTTCTCCCTGAGATTGAGCAGATGGCTGATTCTCTAGTATCAAGGATGAGAAACCGAACTGGCAGTTTAAATCCTTTCATGTGAGTGACTTTGGATCTGTCTTGGATACTTTGGCTGAAGACCTGGAAGTTAATTTTGTGTTCAACAATTTCCATTTTCTTTTCCACGAGGAGTCTTCAATAATTTTTTTCTTTCCAAATGTGTCAGGGCCCTTCATCTAAGGTTTGAGAAAGGTATGGTGGGCCTATCATTTTGTGATTTTGTGGGAACAAGGATGGAGAAAGCTCTAATGGCTTTATACAGACAAAAAGAATGGCCTCGGCGTTTCAAGGTAACCAATATTATGGTTGAAATTTGTGGCCATATCAAAAGAAATTGCAAAACTAATATGTTTATCCTCTTTCTGGTGCATTATCTTGCAGGATGGTTCCCATCTTTGGGCGCTAGCTCTGCAGAAGCGGAAGGAAGGGCGGTGCCCGCTCGAGCCTGGTGAAGTAGCGGTGATGCTTCGTGCTATGGGCTATCCTAAAGAAACTCCTATATATGTTGCTTCTGGGCAGGTTTATGGTGGACAGAACCGCATGGCACCACTCCGGAACATGTTCCCCAATCTTGTGAGTTATTTGCTCAATTTGCTGTTTAACTGCTTATCTTTATCTTATTATAGACACAAAATGCCAATAGCTACTTCAAATTTTGTTTCTTTTTCCTTTTCATTCTACTCTTGAATGTCCATTCCAGGCAATGGGATAAAATCATGAATAGTGGCAATATTTACAAATCGTTTCCTGTTTTGGAGTGATTAGATCCACGTGATTCAATTTTTTCTATACGACTATACGTGATATGAATAGAGTACCAATCATTTCTGAATACCTGCAGAAGCCAATGGAAGCATCTGATGTTTTTAATTCTCTTATATACCGTTGTGAACTTTTTCATCAAGTATTGGTGACAGGTTACAAAGGAGGAACTGGCAACCAAGTTAGAGTTGGATGGATTCAGGAAGCACGTTACGAGCTTGGCAGCTTTGGACTTCTTGGTCTGTTTGAAGTCTGATGTCTTTGTGATGACCCATGGAGGAAATTTCGCTAAACTGATAATCGGATTTCGTAGGTACATGGGTCATCACCTTAAATCAATAAAACCTGACAAGGGTCTTATGTCGAAATCTTTAGGTGACCCATACATGGCCTGGGCCACCTTTGTCGAAGATGTCGTCGTTACTCACCAGACACGAACTGGCTTACCTGAAGAAACTTTTCCCAATTATGACATTTGGGAGAACCCTTTGACACCTTGTATGTGTAGAGCTTGATCGTGATAGTTCTCATAGTGTAGCACAAACCACAGGATATTCGTTGAGAGCATTTCCTTAAAAAAAATATGCCCAAGTACATCAAGAAAGTTTTCAAGGTGAATTTTGCCCTTTAACTTTAGTACATGTTTGGTATGTTGTACTGGAGAATGCAATAAAGAAAATTAACTTCTTTGATACTCTCCAGCCAAACATGACATTAGAGTTTGAGCAAAACCGTGCTGCACAGTTCATGCTAAATCGGAATTTCAGTGCCTTTATATAGAGAGATGTCAATGAAATGTATGTTACTGAGGGCTTGGAGGTAGGAAAGCCTGTTAGGATCTAATGAGGTGATGTTCAACAAAATGAAACACAGCAATTTTGTTTGTAAACACAATTTTATTTTTCTGTGTATAATTATGATTGCATAATATAAAATGCCATGTTTGTTATGCAGAATGTCCTATTTAGTATTTACTTTACCAAACATAAAGTTTGGTAGTTGGCAGAGTATAGTTTGCCCGAGATTATGTTGGAGGAGTTTTTACGTGCTCATAATTATCATCATTTTTGGCTCTTTGAAAATTGAAATGATTTCGAATTTGTAAGATTTTTTTTGCTGATTTTAGGGTTGTCTAAGAAATTCAAAAACTCCATCTACGTAAAAATCCTGTACATTGTTTAATGTCATATGCAATAATTATAGGAAAAAATCCGGGGTTTCTTCTCCTAATTGAATTTATCACATTCAAATGGATGAAGATTAAGATTGATGATGTGAAAATCCCATCTAATTGAACTCCTATTCGTGTATTTGTTGGTATTTTGTATTTATATCGATGAAGATTTCATAAAAAATTAAATTGAGCTCGTACTGAATAAATACACGAATTTAGCTAGAAAGAAGAGGAAATCAAAGCAAGTTTGTGAAAGTTTAAATTATAATTTTAGTTAGTTAAGAATACTTTTTTCTATGCATTTTACAAGGCTAGTCATAGTTAAAGTTGCAGCTAAAAGACTTTATAGGTGCTATAAAATAGTATTATAAGATGAGATAATATAAAAATGACTAATACAAATTGTTTGTGGAATGAATTTTTGATTCAAATGAAATAAAAATGATTTTGTGCAAACAATTTAAATAGTTGATGAAATCAATTAGAATAGTCATTCTACTTACCCTTTTGATCTGTAATGAACATTTAACGAATATCATCATTTCTTCGTATTTGCTTAATATGTATTGAATATGTTAATTGAAATTATTCCTTATAGATACGTATTACGTCCTTTCATTTACCTTCTTTGTATTTTTAATATTCATTAAATAAATCAATTGGAAGAAAACTTTAAAAATATTCACTTTTTGTTTCAATTTTTTTTAATGAATTTAATTGACTATCCATTCAGGTGGAATGATCTATTAAATGTACATTGATCATAATTAAATAATTGATAAAATAATTCATGAAAATATTGTTCAAATAATTAAATAATTCAAATACATATTGAAAAACGAAAATGTAATGAATATGTCAACTATAGATAAATAAATTAAATAGATATTGAAAAATGAAAAATAAGGTATTATTGAAATAATTAAATATTTATTGAAAAAACGAAAAAGAAATGTATTATTAAAATAATTGAATTATAGTAAGAGTATAATCGTTAAAAAAATGATTCTCATTTGATGTGATATTTAATATATTATCAATATGTAATTAGTATAAATAGTTTCTATCATATGCCTTCATGGCTTCATTGCACAAATTGTCATTATCATTTTAATTTTGACATTTTGGCACTCGGATCAATCTTTCTTTGCGCAAAATATTATTACCGTTTATTTTTCATTAAAGAATTGTAAAATGGCTAATTTACCTTATTATTTAAATAAACGAAAAAAGAAAAGAAAGAAATAATATAAAAATTTGCATCTAGAGTTTCAAATTTTTAAAAATTGCAATGTGACTTGAATCCCGGATTTCGAGATTTATTGAAAATTTGATTTGTTGAGAACTTAGATTGTTTGGCACTTGAATTTCGAGGCTTGAATTTGCACTTCAAGGCCTGGAACTGAATTTGATTTGATTTGATTTGAAAAGATTTTGAACTTTTTGACTTGACTTGGACTTGATCGAAGAAGATTTTGATTTTCTTAGTGTTCGTCAGACTTAAGCTTGAGAGTATTTCTTCTAGGGGTGGGCGCGGGTCGGTTCGGTTCGGTTTTTTTCGGTTCCAAAAATTTTCGGGTATTTAGTAAATGGACCCGTCGGTTCCAAATATAATTTTGGAACCATTCGGTTTCGGTTCGGTTCGGTTCGGTTCGGTTCTATTCGGTTCCGTTCGGTTCCGTACTATAATTAAATTTTTTAACATTTAAAATAATACTACATAAATATACCTTAAAGTGGATACCAATATTAATAACAAAAAGTAGATACAAATACCAAGTTCAATCTTAACTTTTACAAATTAACGTAATCTAATTTAATAACATATAAATAATAAGTTGTCAAATACAAATACCAAAAAGTAAATATTACTAATAAAACTTCGATATTCATATCAATAATTCATTTG